CCATCTGCTCAAGTCACTCACGGACACGTTAGGCCCAGGTTAGGTATAAAACTGGTACTCCTACTATTCCTGTCCTAATTCTACTAATAATCCACCCTAAGGTGGCACTCTAGATCCAAAGAATAAAAAATACCCACGGTCTAGGTTGTAGCATTATCTGACAAATTTTCTAATTATTTTCTATTTACTTTTCAAAAAGTGGTGGTGGTAAAAGTTGCGATTTAATATGTACAATGCGCCATCTAGGCAAAAGCCGGGTTGCCGCGATATTCTTACGAAATATATTTTCATTCCATGATGTTTTTTAAACAAAATGTCTAGCTTAAATGATTTGAAGACTGTTGCGGCGCTATGGTCGCGCCACAAGCGAAACACATCGAAGCCTAAATCGCGCTATCAAAGTTCCGAAGTTAAAGCAGTATATATAGAATAGCTCCGAACTACCACTCGGAGCATTGGCCGCTCAACGAGCAGAACACCTTGCCCGGCGCGAGATCTCCCCTTTTCACACAGAGCTAACAGGCTCTCATGAATAATCAATTACAACGCTTAAATCTATATTACAAATAATACGAAAATACAATTTGTTTAAAGTTTTCTTTGTGGAACTTGTCCAGTTTCTAATCACCATGCACCATGTATGTATAATATGCTTTTTTAATCAAAGTGTTTTTATATAGGTAACATTTTTCTAATTCTATGGATCCCCAATTACTAAAGAGCAATGGCAGAAAAATAGTTGACAAAAATTATAGCGTCTAGAAATAAGTTATATATAAAACGAGTTTTATTATTTTTCTATGATTTTTCAAATAAAAATGTATTTTAATCAAAGCCACAGAAAAAAACAAACATTTTTGGGAATATCAAATGACTGAAATCATTTTACTCTATTCAAATGTTGCCATTTAGTATATTCCTACTATTTTCGTATACACTTTGTAACACTACCAACACAACACACAAAATATTTTTATATTAAGTTATTATTAGTAATAACTGTACTATCGGTAATAACAAAAATAAAAGTAATATGGCTGAGAATAAGTCTCTTACAAAGAATTTCCTACGGTAATACATTATCTCAATCATAGTACTATGTAACAATTCCATTTAATGTTATGCCAACACTAGCTAAAATAAAATGTCACTGTTTTTTTTTTCTGGATTTACGGCTCTGGGTTCTAGCCCTTCTGAGAATGTCACTATGGTACAAAAGCCCTGGAGCCATGCCAGAAATATACATTTATAGTATGCAAATATATAATAGAGATACAATAATCTAAAAACTTTCATTTATGTATTATGTATTAAGCTAACATCAAACAACCACAGGAAGCATGACTTTTTCCAAGCGACATAGGACATAACCTAAAAAGGTTCAAATGCAAATATCTTTTTTTTGACGCCTTCTCAGTACAAAATTCTTTGACAAAGTTATTAAGGGACTGACGCTTAACATTTTAAGATATTTTTGGTATATAGACGCTACCATTTCTTCTCAACTAATTTTATGTATGAAAGTCTGCCATTGCTCTTTATCTGTTTGTAATTAACTATAATTTTTCCGAAATTCAATGCTCTTTATAATACCACAGAATAAATAAAAGTTAAAGGTAAATATAAAATTATAATATAAAGTTAAAAGAATAATACACAAATATATTTGATAAGGAGATATACTATTATAGTATTCTCAAATGCGTCCATATTATTCGTAAGGTTTTTATTATTTTTGTAAACATAGAAAGTAAGTTATTGTTACTAATCTATGATTTTTTATAGGATAAGGGTGACAAGCGACTCCTAAAACCCTCTCAGAAATGAAAGGAGGCCTGTGCCCAGCAGTGGGACGTAAATAGGCTGCAACTTTACTAATCTATGATAGATAGATATAGTGTATAGGGGACGTTTTTATAGATATTGTTCTATCTATTATAGTTAACGCAACGTAGGCCAATAAATATACTTTTATTTGTGAATTTTAGCCCCACAGATTTAAAAAACTAAATTATATATATAGGATACACTCAACACTTTTTTCTATACATATTTCTTATCTATCATATTGCCAATGTTCGTAAAAATCCGTTGAGTAGTTTTTGTTTGATTGAGCTACAAACATCCAAACAAACATTTTATACGTGGTAGAGTCATGCTGCAGCTATATTAGTAGTATAGTTGTAGCACGAATGGATCGACTCGACCGGGGAAGGACCACGCTCTCACAGAATACCAACGTAAAATAGCAGCTTAACACTTGTGTTTCGTATGGTGAGTGTAGAGAACCGGAGACCATTTTTACTGGAAACGAGGCATTCCATCTAAGTCCTCACGGGTGACAACTGACAACGCATCTACATTTTGATACTTTACTGAGGATAGATGTAGATGTCTATGGGTCACAGCAACCATTTACAATCAGGTGGACTGTGTGCTCGTTTGTCACTCTATCCTATAAAAAAAAAAAACATTCACTATTAGGATATTATTATACGAGTATTAGTTTGTTCCTAAACTAAGCCATTAATGTTGCTTTATTATTAACAATTTTATTATGAACTAGCTGTTCCTCGCGACTTCGCCCGCGTGTAATTTAGGGTTTTAATTATGTTGCGTGGAACCCTTATTCTTTTTCTAAAATATAAGTAGCTTAAGTTACTCCTTATAACATCAGCTATCTGCCAGTGAAAGTCCCGTCGAAATCGGTCCAGCCGTTTCGGAGATTAGCCGGAACAAACAGACAGACCGGCAGACAGGCAAATATTTTAAAAATTGTGTTTTTGTTATAAGTATCGTATATACTGTCATATGCATTTAGTAAAAAGCTGTTATTTTAACATTACAAACAGACACTTCAATTTTATTTATTTGTATAGATAAATCTTATAAGATATTATCACCAGCAGTGTATCTCCAGTTTAGCGACTGATGATTACGATGGAAAGTTAATCATTATATAATCTTATACAAGCGGACATAAGAGTTAATATATTATGCTGTTGAAAAAAAAATTAATAAAATATATAATACGGAAGTGCTTCCTTGTGCTCTTGACCCGGCCTTGAATATTATAACAAAACTCTGATTGAATTTGAATAAAATACCACAACGTATATTTCAACCTTCAACCTTTCTATACAACCTTTTTATACATGCAATATGTATTTTTACCTTCGTTGCCTTCTGTTTAACAGACACGGCTGCTGCTTATCTTATAAATATCCCCTTCATATCTGGACACGGGCCTTCCCGTGCATCTTGGTATGGCGTGATCGCGGAGCAGGAAGAATTTCAAATTATTGCAATTCATACGAATGTGAACTTTAATTACTTGAGAATAAACTTGGTTTTCGAATCACAAATACTGTTTAAACTATCTTAGTTGCAATAGAAATAAAACTTTTTATGATGGGAATTAAGATTAAAAATGCAAAGCAATAAAAAAAATTCCTGCTCCGCGACCGTGCTTTAGTATGGTTGGAGATGATGTGGGTCATCACGTTTGTTAGACGGGGTGGACAACCTCATTTTTTATTACTTTGGGGTGTTACGAGTATCATCAATATAATGCTAACTATCTCCTATATCATTTTATGGTGTCATCCTTTACGACACTCACGAGATGATGAAAAGAAAGAAAATAGAAAGAAGACACATTTACGCGTGGTTCACCACTACATAAGTTCATAGACTAATTATAAAAAATATAATTAAAGACGACAGAATTAATGTTATGACAAATAAGTTTAAATTAAAAAAAAACAACACAATTAGAAAAAATAAGTATAACAGTAGAGCCATGCTGCAGCTTTATTACTGGTATAGTTGTAGTACGAATAGATCGGCTCGACCGGGGAAGGACCACGCTCTTACAGAATACCAGCTTAAAATAGCAGCTTAAGGCTGCTGTGTTTCGTATGACGAGTGTAGAGAACCGGAGACACTGTTTACTGGAAACGAGGCAATACATCTTAGTCTTCACGGGTGACAACGCATCTGCATTTTGATTCGTAAACGAGGATAAATGTAGATGTCTATGGGCCACAGCAACCACTTACCATCAGGTGGACTGTGTGCTCGTTCGTCACCCTATACTATAAAAAAAGATATAGTCGGATTGAATACCTCCTCCTTTTTTGAAGTCGGTTAAAAAGGAGGAACTTCACAATTCGAGTGTATATTTTGTTTTTTGTATGTTACGCGATTTCTCGCCAGTTGCGACCCGATTTTGAAAACATAGATTAACCTTCAGGGGTGGGCCTATATTCATTTGGAGAAAATAGAACCGTAAGGGAGACAAATAAATACCTTGTTTTTTAGCACTTTGAAATCGGCTTTTACTTTTCGTTAGAAGTTATAATTATTACTGTTTTCCTACCTATTCTTATTGCTGTGACCCATAGACATCTACATTTATACTCAATTAAAAATCAAAATGCAGATGTGTTGTCACCCCTGAGAACTAAGATGGAATGTCCCATTTCCAGTTAAAAAGGTCTCCGGTTCTCTACACTTCCCATACAGCAGCATTAAGCTGCTATTTTACGCTGGTATTCTGTGAGAGCGTTGTCCTTTCCCGGTCGAGCCAAACTATTCGTGGTACAACCATAATATATTACGGGGGAGGTTTAGGTCCAGCAGTGGACTTGTGTAGGTAATTTATTTTACTTGGTGATACAATTAACCTAATAATACTTTTTTTTTAATCTGTACCGTGAAGGCGTTTTATATACATAAATTCCTCATGTACAAACATCCAGTTCCGGAACAATTGTTTGTAACTGCTCCCTTACAGGATTTTAACCCGTGGCACTATATCATTGCTACCAAACGCTTAGCCACTGGCCTACAGTCCAGTCCAGTCTATACAATACTTGATCAAGCTTTTATTACTCCTACAGGTCCGATATATAGAAGAATGTAATGATAGGTTTTCACTATTTTGTATGATTGAATTATTACAATACTTCTCATGATTGAAAAATTTGAAAACTTACCACTGATATGTGAGCATCCTGTATAAGAAATTTTCTACCACTCGCCACAAAAATGTTTGAGCACAGGACGAAGGTTAGGTATGATATGCACTTCATTTTTTATTAATAAATAAAAATGTTAATTGCTGCTATGTATCAAAAGATAAACCATTTATATCCTGGATAATTAATACAAAATTTGCGCGATTATTTTCAAATTTCCGCGGTATACTCAAACAAATTGCGCCAAATTTTAATTTAATTCACTAACTGGTATAAATTAGTACACAAATGTGTTTCGACTAGCGTTCGCTACACTAGTGCTAGTGTGTAAATGATGCAAACCGGCATCCTATGTATTTTTATTCGACCCTCGTTTGTTTTATTTATACTGTCTCTAACAAACAGGTTTTTAATGTATAATACATGCGTTAGTAACACAAGGAAGTATTTTGATAATGATAAGTACTTAAAAAATCTTATTTTAAAGATACTCAGTGCCAAGGATCATGTCAGCCCTAAAATAAATTGCTTCATTGATATTAACAACCTTTGATGAGGTAAGGTCAATCAACAACCTCATATGGGCAAGCGTGTCTTGTCAGCGTGCCTTAAACTATTACAAGGTTAGCCTATGACTGGACAAGAGGACTTAAGAATTCATTTTAATTAAGCATTTTATTATTTCAGGTTTCTATTAATAAAAGGCTTAAGCGCCATAGACCACATGCATACCCTTCGGAAAATTGTACAGAAGTCCGAGGAATACAATTTGCCACTATGTCTTGTGGACTATGAGAAAGCCTTTGATTCCGTAGAAATTTGGACGGTGCTGCAGTCCCTTCAGCGGTGCCAAGTTGACTGTCGGTATATCGAAGTGCTGAAGTGTTTGTACAGTAGTGCTACGATGGTTATCCGAGTACAGGACCAGAGTCGAAACCTATTCAACTGCAGATAGGTGTAAGATAGGGTGATGTTATATCCCCGAAACTACTACAATAGACGTTTTCAAGCTACTGGACTGAAAAGGATACGGTATTAACATCAATGGCGAGTATATCACTCACCTTCGGTTTGCCGACGATATAGTCCTTATGGCAGAGTCGTTGGACAACCTAAGCACTATGCGCAACGACCTCAATAATGCCTCCCAACGGACAGGTCTTAAGAAGAACATGGACAAAACAAAGATCATGTACAACGTCCATGTCACACCTATGCCGGTAGTTGTTGGGAGCACTAAGCTCGAAGTTGTTGACGAGTATATTTACCTGGGACATATAGTCCCACTAGGTAAGTCCAATTTCGACCGAGAGGTCAATCGACGAATTCAACTCGGCTGAGCAGCGTTCGGGACATTATGGCACATCTTCTAGTCAGGTATACCTCAAAACTTGAAAACGAGACTGTACAACCAGTGCGTGTTGTGAGTGATGACCTATGGAACTGTGACAGAGTCCTTCATTGCTGGCCGTATGTGGAAGCTCAAGGTCGCTCAGCGAGCTATGGAGAGGGCTATGCTCGGGGTTTCTCTGCGTGATAAACTTAGAAATGAGGATATCCGCAGTAGAACCAGAGTGACCGACATAGCCCAACGGATTAGTAAGCTGAAGTGGCAATAGGCCGGCCATGTAGCTCGAAGAACAGGCAACTGATGGGGAAAAAAGGTTATCGAGTGGCGGCCTCGTACCGGCGGATGAAGTGTAGGGCGTCCTCCCACTAGATGGAGTGACGACCTGGTAAGACATGCAGGAAGTCGATGGATGCAGGTGGCTCAGGACCGTGCTTTGTGGCATTCCTTGGGGGAGGCCTATATTCAGCAGTGGACTTGTGAAAGGCTATAATGATGATGATGGTGATGACTAATAAAAATGGGATCGCACAGCTCCGGTTAGCCATATTGACTTTTTGCAATCTTTAATGCTAAAGGAAGACTAGAGAAACGAATAGGAATGATACGTTTCTACTTTAAGTCACGTGACATACACGTGACATACACGTGACTAGTCGTTTATTTGATTTATTATAGTGTTCTATTAACGTTAAAGATTGCAGAATATCAACAGAGCTAAAACCCAGTAGAGGCTGATTGGTCGTTTTAAATTACTTCGTACGGAAGCTCTTACGAACGTTTATACAGAGGGCAACAAAAACAAAAAAAAAATGAGTCTTTCTGTCAAGAAATTCTCGCTCGTCGTTGGCGGCGTTTCACCTTTCCGGTCGTGTCGGTTAGCCGTCCGATCGGACTATGAGAGTGAGGGAAAAGAGAGTGCACCTGTGCTTGCGCGTACACTTGGGCGCTATAATCCTGTGAGGCACGGATGTATAGTCTCCGTTAAGACCGGCCGTCGTGACCGAGATTGCTGCTATTTTAGTTACTATTGTCTTAGCTTATTCAGCTTTGCTTTGATGGATAGATCAAGTGGTAAAATTATATTTTGTACAACCGACTTCAATATAAATGAAATGAGAACATCATCAATGCTAGTCAAAGTCAACTTAATACGCATTATTAAGGATAGCTCAAAAACTACTGGTCAGATCTTGATCAAATGTATATGGGATTCTTGATCTTGATCAAATGATCAAATGTATATTTACCAGCTTTCTTGCAGATCGGAGCATCAAGGTCGTTGTAGACGGTGCATGCTCCGACTACAAGCCTATTAACGCTGGTGTTCCACAAGGCTGCGTGCTATCACCAACGCTGTTTCTTCTGCATATCAATGATATGTTGCAAGCTGGTAGCATTCATTGCTATGCAGATGACAGCACTGGTGATGCTCTATACACCGGCCGTGCCAATATTTCTCGGGAAAACGTCACCGAGTACCGGAACAAACTTGTGTCTGAAGTCGAGTCTTTGCTGGACAAAGTCTCGGATTGGGGGCGACTAAATCTAGTCCAGTTTAATCCTCAGAAGACACAAGTTTGCGCGTTTACCGCTAAAAAGAACCCCTTTGTCGTATCTCCTCAGTTTCAAGGTACTCCCCTTGTTGCCTCAGCCAGTATCGGAATCCTTGGCGTCGACATATCGAGTAGCGTGCAGTTTCGTGGTCACTTGGAAGAGAAGGCCAAATTGGCCTCTAAAAAGCTTGGCGTGCTCAGCAGAGCGGGACAGTATTTCATGCCGGCTCAACGCCTGCAACTTTACAAGGCGCAGGTTCGGCCTCACATGGAATACTGTTCCCATCTCTGGGCTGGGGCTCCCCAGTGCCAGCTTCTTCCACTTGACCGCATCCAGCGCAGAGCGGCTCGAATCGTCGACGACCGAGTCCTTTCCGATCGGCTCGACTCATTGGCACTGCGAAGAGATGTTGCATCTCTTAGCATTTTCTTTCGCATTTACCATGGGGAGTGCTCTGAGGAATTGTTCGGATTAATCCCAGCCGCCAAATTTCACGAACGCACATCGCGGCAGAACTCCCGATACCATCCACACCATCTGGATGATTGGCGGTCCACCACTGTGCGATTTAGAAGATGTTTTCTTCCTCGCACAACTTCCTTGTGGAATAGTTTACCACCAGCGATTTTTCCGGACCGATACGACTTAGGGACCTTCAAGAAAAGAGCTTACTCCTTTTTAAAAGGCCGGCAACGCATCTGCAATTCTCCTGGTGTTGCGGTTGTTCATGGGCGGCGGTAGTCACTTACCATCAGGTGAGCCGCATGCTCGTTTGCCCCCTCTCCTATAAAAAAAAAAAAAAAAAAAAATGGGACCACATAAGAAGCACCAGCTTTCCAATAAAAAGAAAAACCATCAAAATTGGTGTATGAGGTAACATATAAAAAAAGATACCGTTGAATTTTTTTTAATAGGATAAGGGTGAAAAACGAGCACACAGTCCACCTGATGGTAAGTGGTTATTGTGGCCCATAGACATCTACATCTATATTCGAATACGAATCAAAATGCAGATTCGTTGTCAACCGTGAGGCCTAAGATAGAATGCCTCGTATTCAGTAAAAAGGATCTCCGGTTCTGTACACTCACCATACGAAACAGCAGCACTAAGCTGCTATTTTACGTTGGTATTCTGTGAAAGCGTGGTCCTTCCCCGGTCAAGCTGACCCATCCATGCTACAACTATATTACTAATAACTGCAGCATGGCTCTACCACGTATAAATTGAGAATTGAAAACCTCCTCCTTTTTGATGTCGGTTAAAAAATAAAATAAGAGCGCGTCTATCGAGATCCATATTTATTAAACATCTTGTCGACGTGTTTAACGAGCGGCCGGTTGAGCAGATTGCCGAGATCCTTGGCATACACGAAGTCTAGATGGTTAAACTTGGGCCAGTTGCATCCGGGCCGGACCTCCTCCAGCATGCCGGTATTCCGTAGCTCTTTGGCAAGGCGCATTATTTGCTGAAACATAGTTTTACAAACTATATTATCTATCATCGTCATAACATAAATCTGTTCTATTGGTTACAGTCAACTGTTAACAAGATTAATGGTTATTAACAGTAATTAAAATAGCCCGACTGGGTAAAACAGTTTACTGAAAAATGAAAAAAATTTTACGTTAATAAGTTTTATTATACGATTATAGAACTTTATCAGCTTTATTATAGGTTTTGAAAATTGAAGTGAGAATGGTTGCTAACCAACTTTAAATGGTTATAGATCCTAAATCATTCATTTTCATCATTACAGCCCTTCACAAGTCCACTGCTGAACATAGGCCTCCCCCAAAGAATGCCACAAAGCACGGTCCTGAGCCACCTGCATCCATCGACTTCCTGCATTTCTTACCAGGTCGTCACTCCATCTAGTGGGGGGACGCCCTACACTTCGCCTGCCGGTACGAGGCTGCCACTCGAGAACCTTTCTTCCCCATCGGTTGTCGGTTCTTCGAGCTATATGGCCGGCCCATTGCCGCTTCAGCTTACTAATCCGTTGGGCTATGTCGGTCACTCTGGTTCTACTGCGGATATCCTCATTTTTGAGTTTATCACGCAGAGAAACTCCGAGCATAGCCCTCTCCATACCTCGCTGAGCGACCTTGAGCTTCCTCATCCGGCCAGCAGTGAAGGACCACGTCTCAGTTCCGTATGTCATCACTGGCAACACGCACTGGGTGAACAGTCTCGTTTTCAAGTTTTGAG